TGTGCCTCTAAAGGTACTTTGAAAAACCATTCATAAATTAGACAAGTGACCCAAAATAACTTGAAATGATTGGGAAAAAAAAAATTCATTGTGAGTTGATTTTGATAATAACTAATTTAGATGGTAACATAATAACAAAACCAAGAAAATCTTTGTTATAAGTATCTTTACATACGTTACCTTTGGCAATGTAAGTGGTGCCACGGCATGCTCGTCTAAACCTTTGCAAGGAATTCATTGTTATGGCATACTTGTTGGTTGCTTTCCTTTAGCATGTCATTGCAAGTCATACTTGCTCATGCCTTTAAATGTCATATTAAGCTTCAGTGAATCTCAAGCATGGCATGACATGCTTGTCATTCATTGCCTTTTACTTGGGTTTTGGGTTTAACAACTTGAAGGCCTAGAATGCCTTTTGCATACCTTTGTTCAAGCCTTTCTTTAAGGGTTTAGGGTTTGTTCAAGCCTTTTAAAGGCATGTGGAGCCTTTATAAAACCACCACACACCATTTTTTTTTACTTTCCAATTGTCATGCATTTTCGAGACATAACTTTCCCTCAATATGTCCTGATGTGGCATTCTTGTTCACAGTTTGCGATTGTTGCACCTTAGCTAGGGATATTGTGCTTTTGTGATGCATGAAGTGGAATGTATGTGCATGCCTTCCCTTTGTTGTGCCTTTTTCATTCCCTGGTGTGCCATTTTTGTAAAGACCTTGTCTTAGTCATGCCTTTGCAAAGTATTGCTTGCCTTTGTGATGCACTGGCGTGGCATTCTTGTTCGTTCCTTTACAAGTCATATGGTGCCTTTCCCTTCTTGTGTCATTGCAAAGCTAAGATGCCTTGTCATGGGGGATGCTTTATTATAGCCATGCCCCTTTCAAAGCCAAAGGCAACAAAAGATACAACTTGCATTGCCAAAGACAGCACAAGGCCCCACTTTACCAATGTCAATGCACGACCACCTTTCTTACACTAGGCAATGCAAAGGCGCGACTTACTTGTCCAAAGGCACTGCTATTACGCAAGGCGCCAATTCCATGGCCATACACAAAACAAGGCTCCTCTTGCTTGGCCAGAGACCCAACACATGCAGCATTTTACTAACCAAAAGCAACCAAATGCGCTACTTAATAGCTTATTAATTGCAATAATAACATAATCTGTCTATAGTTTCATAAAAGATGAAAGGTGTTTTTCAGGTTGTCCTGTACAATGTGTCCTCCATGACATGCTTGTTCTTGCCATGCATTTGCGATTTTTGTGCTTTACCTTTTTTCATGCCTTGGCAATCAAGTATGAAATATGATGATGTACTTCACTCCTTAAGTATATTGTGAATAACCAAAAATTTAATAGATTGTTTACCCAACAAAATAATTCCTGGTTATGGCCAACTTAAATAAGAAAAGAGGCTGATTGTATTTACACGATACGGATTATACAATTCTCTTTCCCTCCAAAACTTCTTGGTCATCTGTCACCAATCATCATTAACCCTGATGCCAGGTTTCACTCCTGGAACTACTCATTCAACTCTTGTCCCCAAGTCCTGAAATCATAAAGATATGGGAGAACTAACGAAAGGGAAGGGTACGGCTAGAGTTACAATGTCAAAATTTGGGTCCTGACATGCTGCAGAAATATACTGTGTACTAGGAGGAAGGCTTCGCATCAACCATCAAGCTTTGCCAAGAAGTTACTGAGATTGTATTCTTCGGTGTACTGTGATTGATCCCACAACTCCTCCAGCCCACCAAGAATTGCTTTCAACCCCTTTCCAGTGCCCATTAATTTCATATCTCCATCAAATTTTCCATCGGGATGCTTTAATATAGAAGTTCCCTAGAAAACAAACAAATAGTCGAAACTTTTCATTGACATCAATTAAGAACTTGCAGCAGACACGTAACAATTCAATTACAACTTGTAGAAACTCATATTAGCTTCTGTAAACGTGCACAGCATCCAAAATGAATTCAGAAAATAGACCAGCCAGCAATACCTTTTTGGACGTTTCTGCAGTAGCAAATAGATCAAGCAGTTGGTCTGTATTCATGGTTTTCATACTAGCATTTTCAGCATTAATGACTGCATTAGCTACTGAAAGCTTAAACTTTTGCAAGCTCATAACTTTCTCTTCGAGAGTGCCACGCATAATAAGGCGATGGACATTGACAACTTTTTTCTGACCTAATCTGTGTGCTCTGTCCATTGCCTGCAGGTCAAAAAAAGGGTAAATAACAACGTATAATGCTGAGCAATTAGGGAGCTTCAATGAAGTTCATCTCAGAGATCTTTTATTGAAAACTAGACTTAAAATGTGATAGAAGGCATCTGTATCCAATTTCAAGAGACGATGATGTGCAATTAGGGAGCTTTATTGAAGTTCATCTCAGAGATCTTTTCCTGAATGCTAGACTCAAAATGTGACAGATGGCCTCTGCTTCCAATTTCAAGAGATTAAAATTTCGACTCCTTAGAGGATAAAGACAGCAAAAGACAGTCACCTGATGATCCCGCATGGGGTTCCAGTCATGCTCCATGAAGACGAGTGTGTCTGCAGATGTCAGGTTCAAGCCCAGCCCACCAACTGCAGAAAGTGATTAAACTTTAGTAACACTCTGATTGAATCTAGTACGCAGGCAAAGGATAAAATGCCAACCATGGGTTGTGAGTAGCAGGACATCGATTGTAGGATCCGAATTGAAAGCTTTGACAATATCAAAACGTTTTTCAGGTTCAACTGACCCATCCAGCCGCAAGTAGGTTACACTGCTTTAAAGAAACACATAAGACCACTGGATCACTATACCATACCATACAAGAGGATAAACATTGTGAAAGCAATTGCACAAGTTCACTATACTAGAGGATGATTCTTCTACAGGTTATACCCACCATATCTAGAATTTATTCGTCACATGTACTCAACCCCCTGATTTCTGGCATATTAATTTTTCTAGGTCCAAAAACCAGATTTCTAACTGAAACAGTTAGAACTCATGTAATACTGTTACTTATCACAATTGTGGGACAAGATTGTGAGAGAACTCAACACTAGAATAACTTTCCACTCCAAAACAGTCTTTAATAAGATTAGCAGACTTCAACAACTAACAAAGATGCATGAGAGAGGTTTACGAGACCAACCTCTTCATATGAGTATGAAATAAGTCTCTTTCTATTAAGTCCAGAAATGCCTGCATGAGAAGCCATTGCGCATTATAAACCATGAATTAAAGCTAAGCACAGATAGCTTAAAAGAGAATAAGTCAAACATAAACGGACAATACTTTATGTTGAGCAAATATCAAGACTCTGTGCTGCCCCACACTTATGGCACCTTCAGAACTAGAAGCATCAACACCTATTCCACACTCTTCAAGAATCTCCTGAAGTGCAACTAGTTTGGGAGAGTGGTATGGCTTGTGCAATTCTGAAATTGTATCAGAGCCTCCCGGTAGTAGCTCTGACAAAAGGCATGCAATTGAATCTGGGACCTTTTTTTCAAGAACAAGCAATGGGTGACTGCAAAGTTTAAGCAAGTACTGAAGTGCCTGAAACAAGAACAAATAACATCCATTCAATGATAGGAACATACTGAAGCAAAAGAGAACTAAACACAAAAATAAACAACACAATTACCTGAAAAACATGGGATGAAGCTCTAGGTGATTCACTATGCCCTCCTGTATCTGCTGTCTCATTTTGTTTTACAATACTTGAGATCTCTCGTCTCACATGTGACCCAGAAAACTGTTCGTACAATTTCAATTGTACAGGGCTCAGGTCACAGAACCTGTCCTGAATAATTTTCTCAGGAAGATCAGACAAGACTTCATCTTTTGTTCGACGGAGGAGGAAAGGCATGACCTATTTGACAGAATTTTTTAGTCAGGAAAGTCAACAATTTCTACATAAACTCTTATCACTTTTGCCAACAGTTAGTACTAAGCCAGCTAATTTCACCAGAGAAGTATCTCAGTGAACAATTTGCACTCTTTAAAATTCCAGAACTTGGAATGCACAGAAAATTTCATACATACTTGTAAAAGTTTGACCATAGTATTATTTTTCACATCAGTATCCAGTGAGATTGCAAGGTCAACTACCAAGGGGGCACAATTTTTTCAAGATGCTTGATTTGCAAAAAAATAACGAGTGGTATCACAAAAAAGGAAGAAAGGAAATTTACCTGCTTGTGCAATGCTTCCATCGCAAGTGCTCCTGCTTCAGCATCCTTGGCAGAGCACTTAGGATCTCTGGCTGCCACCAGTGGTTTCCCAAAAGTGGCTTGGAACTGCCCAAAATAACATTAAAACAACAGATTTATTTATTTATCATGTCAGATTGACAATTGTTCGGGGAAATGTGTACTACAGTGTTACACACAGAATGTACATACATCTAAATTTTTCAAGAGATTAGCAAATCATGAAAGAGAAATTACAATCACTTAAACTGATAATGGAGACTATCCAAACATAGAGTTGATTACGGGAAAGACAGAATTTTAAATAATATTACTTTCTGATAGATGATGTTCATCTTCGTCAAACCAGACTCTTAATAACTTTATAAGTACACTCTTAACAGAAAGAAAACACAATGTAAGTTACGCTCTTAAAATAATTGTACGCTATTAGGAACCCTCATTCTAGACTTTTTAAGTGTTAAATCAGAGTAGTTTCTCTCTTGATTATGTTATTCTCCAAATTGGAGGATATATATAGCAATACAAACAATCCAGATCAAGTATGAAACCAATAAGTCAAATATGACTGCTATGAATCTACTGCCTACAATCTACATTTACTCTATAGAATCAACTCTATTCTTTATATGAGATTTCTTGTCTGATCTTTAGTCAAGATTTCTGCTTCAATTATTGCCAGCCAACACTTTATAAGTAGAGTCTTTGGAGATCAAAAGTTACAAAGATAGATACTCTGAGCCCCTGCTCCCAGAATATAGGGTTTTAAGATTTTTCTAAACTACCAAGCAACATGGCCAAATTCATTTATTTGAGTTCCTGTAAAGATTTATGTGGGTATCTATCAGAAAATTATTTATGTGGGTTTAGCCTGAAAGCCACCATGTGTTTTCAGAGTTTGTTTTTATGCTTACTTCTATAAGAGAATTCTATCTGCCACATAAAAAAATTCAAGGAAAAAACAAACAAAAAAATATAATATATAACAGAAGAAGGCGAAAACACACCTGCCTCTCTGTTCCAAGAAAGCCGGGCATTAGGAAGTCAAAAAGGGACCATAAATCCATGACATTATTCTACAACAAAAGGTAGGTCCTTTTCAGAAGAAAATAGAAAATCAGTTTTAAGGTAATTTCATGAATCAGTGAAAGACCAACCTGGATTGGTGTTCCACTCAATATCAAACGATGCTGGGCTTTCAATTGCTTCACTGAAAGTGTAACTTTTGACTTTGCATTCTTGATCACATGTCCTTCATCTAAGATACAATAGTTCCAGATAAGCTTCCCAAGATAATCAATATCTTTGCGGATCACGTCATATGATGTTATTATCGCATTATGCTTTCCAAAATGTTCTCGAAGTGCAATGCGCTCTTGAGCAGAACCAACATATTGGAGAGTAGATATTACGGAAAGATCAATGTACTTCTCTATCTCAAAGGCCCAATGTCCAACAAGTGTTGATGGGCAGATAATTAAAGATGATGGAAGATTGCCGCCATTCGAAGTTTGATGTTCGACTATATCAGAAGCCACAATAGCCAATGCTTGAAGTGTCTTACCAAGACCCATATCATCACATAAGATTCCATGAAGCTTGAAACGTTTTAAAAAGGCTAACCAATTTATGCCTTCCTGTTGATACCTATAACCAAAAGAATCTGTTAGGAACCAGAATGTTGATTCACTGCAAAGTCAAACCAATTTATACCTATACCAGTAAGCCTTAGAAAATAGAGTACTCCTGTATCAACCCAACTAACAGTCAACCTCAGCCACCAACCTTCTACATGACTCTACCAGTAAGATATACAACAATTTAGATATATTTTCTCTTTTCCGCAATTCTAACCAGTATACATTATAAACATAGGTTTAGTATACAGCTACACATCGTGAATAAACCAGACACAAACATATGTAAAATGTCCCCAGTTCATTTAGAGTTGTAGTCTTTAGCTGTTACAAAGATAAATATCAAGCCAAGTTTCAAAAGTCTTAGCCACGAATTCATTCAACATTAAGTATTTTAGCTACCTTCTCAGTGTCACTTTCAGTTCAGTACAAAGCTTGTAATCATCAATATGGGAATTGTCAAGTAGTTGCTCCAGAAATGTTGCATCTTCTACACTTCTGGAGAAACCTTCAGTTAGTCCAACAGGTGGAGGGAGGCCCCGTGCTAGTGGAAGAAGAGGTACAAGAGCAGCAAAACTGTGAGTCACACTCTGTCTTACAGACTGATCACAATCACTCATACACCTTAGAAGAGGGACAACTAAGAAAGGAGCATATGGAACCAGCTCCACACCCAATCCTTGGACAAGCAAACTAATAAGCATGCCTGCACCTTGTCTGGCACCAACAGATGTCGTATCCCCTAACATGGGTATGGCATTTTCAATTACAGCTCCCATCACATGCATTTCCATTGACTTGGCCATTGTGGTGATGCATCTAGAGGAAGCCAATCTAACAGCAACATGGGAATGACGAACGCACTTCAATATGTATGGAAGAAGGGTGAGCAGTTTTGGTTTCAGATCCTCATTTAGCATTGGAGCAATAGAACGTACTACCTGCAAGTTTTGAGACAATTTAGGTTTCAAGTCCGTAGGTCCCCAAATTTTGACGGTTTACCATTTGTAATGCAATAACTCATATGTTACAATCTAAAATTCCAAAAATTGTCATGTCCTAATTTACAATCAAGTAAAGGTAGATAGTTCAGAACTAGAAAGAAAACCCAAAGAAAAGGAAAATGTCATTTATCAATACACCTAGATTGTTATGGATAAAAAAGACATTAGCAGCTAATGCAACAATATGACCCAAATAGTTGAAACAGAGCACGAACAAAACTTCTGATAAGATCGGGCAAGTCTTATTTTTAACCTTTGGCCTTCAGAAAAATAAGCAGTCAAGAAATTAAGGTTGGCCATTATTAACCAGGAAAGTATTAAAAACACAAAACCATTCGAGAAGTGAGTGAAGCAGCATCAAGTTGTCATGTTGAGTAAAGATGGATATGCTTCTTAAATTTTATCTTCCCCTTTTCTTCTAGTTCCCTGATCTTATTATTTACAAACCCACACTCATATTTTTTTTTTTTGGGTCAATACACTCCTATTATTTTAGACAATATCAAAAAAATAAAAAGGAAAAGGAAAAAGAAATTGCATGTGCTTCCAATTTTCATTCCACATACCCACAACATCTCAGTTCATGTAAATACTTTTCCTTAATTCTGAAACCTTGACTGGTCTCTGGTCCTTTATCTCTCTATTAGTGATCTTGAATCCCCGTCATTTTGAAGTAACAAAAGAGCGAACAATTCTCATAGTTTTTTTTTTAACAATTTAATAGACAATTTTCATATTTGTAACACCTTTTGACATTTACTGATGTATATGCAATATCATACGCAAAAAATATTAGTACCGAATGCAGTCAAATATTAATACTGAATGCAGCCACAAGATTTAATAGAAGTAACACAACCAAAAAAATCAAGAATGATAAGAACCTGGATATTATTTATCAAGGTCTGGGGATCCTTCACAGATTCCAGAGTTTGTGTAATTTTCTTTTCGTCTGCAGGATTAAGGGACTGAATACTACTAGGCTTAAGCATTTCAGTGAGGCAATCCCAAAGTTTTGGAAGCTCGTCAAATAATGAAGCACCAAACTTCATACAAAGATGCCTCAAGGCAAGTTCAGAACCTCGTCTACTAATAAATCCCTCAACCTTTGAGCGATCTTCGATTCCAGCCAGAATGACCTTTGATTTCTGCTTACCAGTATTTGTCCCAAAAGATAGGAGATCTTGGTCATCAATAATATCTATGGAACAGATGACTGCAGCTTGAGGTGTTTCTCTAGGATCCATACATGTTAAATTACATATATTCTTAATTAACTTATCATTTGGGCTTCGGCTACGTGAAATACAGTGAGAAATAAGCTCTGCAAGTGCCTCAGCTGCCTTCTCTTGTAGTATTTCCTCCTTCCCAAGAGATTTTAGATTATCAGATTAAATAACTAAGCAACCATAGGATTAAGAAAGCAATTATATATAGAAGATTACCTGTTCTCTTTTGATAGAAGCCATCAAAGGCAAAATAATGGGATTTAGTCGTTCAGGAAGCTCTGACATCCAAACAACAGAAGCAGCAACAAGAGAAGAGACAGTAACATGTAGATTGCTCTGCAGATTGTTACAGAATGTAACAGTGAGCAAAAGGTAAACCACTCAAATATAATTAACAACGAGCAAAAGGTAAACTCTCAAATATAATTATAGAATTGGGGAAAAGCTAATACAAAACCCTTAATAAAAATGAAAAACGTTGGACACCGTTCCAATAATTCCATTAAAAAAAAGAGATGTATCCTTCTGCCTAGCACTTAAAGAAGCATATCAAGAATATGCAATTATGTCCCACAATTACCTGAACACATTTTAAATATCCACAAGTTGTCAGAAGTCGTTGTTTTGCTGACTCTATATCATCAACAATGTGCCTTTCCAAAGAATTGTTCCCCCCAATATCATTACACAACATTGGAAGTTTCGATGCAAAATTAATTGCATTGTCCACGTTCAACTTTTCCAAGTCAATTTTGGTAGTAGACAACAAACTTTGAAACATACCCGATGATTGAATAGCATTTAACAACTGACTAGCCTCAGAACGCATCTTACAATACGTTCTCGAAAGCTCGGCATAAGGAAGACGTGGATCGTTTGTAGGGAATGCAGGTTCAAGGCATGCCAAGAAATCCAACATCAAATTTTTGAGATGGTTCAGAAAACCTGGCATAACTCCAGCATTTTCAAACACACCTGCCCTTTTAATCTCTTTGAACCAAGAAATAAGAACCATAGATGCCACCTGATTGCATATGAGTAACGATTAAATATACAAATACTGAAAAAGGAAGGGAATGATGGTGGAACTTGGATTTAAAATCAAATGGTACCTGCCGCTGGACACCAGATAAAGAGGTAAAGGCATCAGTCAGTGGATCAATTACATACTGCATTGAGCCTTCGTGCAATCTAGAAGCAAAAACTCCCAATGCTGCTGCAGTAACCACTCGGGTATGAGTCACAGACATTCAACATCCGCACCAACAACTATCTGAACATTATTGGTTGAAGCATCTCCACCTTTTTCCTCTGGAATATATCCCTTCGAAGATTCCAACCCAATGTTTCTACAAGACTCATTTTCAAGCTTCACAGCTCTCATTTTAGCTGCTGCTTTAAAATGACTCTTTCGTGGGAGAGCAACAGGCCAAAACATTTTTGTAGAATCTAATGCTGAACCATACGAAGTAGTTGCAAGTTCTATCCAAGAGGACATATATAACCTTGCAGCAATTTCCAAGTCACCTAATGGACACTAGTATAACGAGGGAGAGAGAAAGAGGGAGAGAGAGAGAGAGTTAGAATGAGCACAAATTTTTGCAAATAAGAATTAGTAAAATGTTACCAAAAGCAAGAAACAGCAAGCAAGAGCAAAGGCATAAAATCAAGAAACTGGAAGCACGTGGTGTGTCAATTGCATACACAAATGTAGAAATGTGGAAAACAATATCCAGGTAAAAGTAAAAAAGACATCCGTAAAAGGTTTAGATTATTTGCGCCTCCATATAAAAGTCCCACACAGTCACGCTAATGTGAGAGCAGGTCACATTTTCATATCCTTTTGTTAACAAAAAAAAAAAAAAAAAAGCAGATAAATACATCTTCAACAAGGGGAAATAAACAAAAGTACAATGAAACCTATTCATTATCACAAAGTAAAGAACCTGAACAAGGAGCCTCCAAACTCTCTCTGAAAGTTTCAAAATTTCATCATTTGATTCAAGCAGTAAATTTTGAAAAACAATCCGAAGGGTATCACCCAAAATAAAAGATGGCCAAAATGAAGTACTCGAAGACTCAGAGATGCTCCTTTTGTATCCTGCTTCAAGTAGTCGTTCCTGCAAATGAAAATGCATGGTAGAGAATTAACTGTAAATAAACATATTACAGGCATGCAAACAAATAATTACACATACTTAAGAACATCTGAACCCTGATGCACAAGTAAGCATTTTATAAATGTCACAGACGGATTAGTACCAATAAAACATTTACTTGTTTAAACACAAGAAAATATAACATTAGATAGATGGTAATGGCAAAATCACGTCACTTGTGGTGGGACAACAGGAATAGTCTGGCTTTGGTAATAAAGCTAGTGTTACTAATATACCAGACCAAAAGTCAAAGCAAGTCACATTATGGTCAATGGGGATTGGCAGCGTCTTGCTAGATCCGATCAGCTTCTCATTATTTGTAATGGTTATCTTGTTGTCCAATGAACATAATTAACAGTCAAAATGTGGTGTGCACACCAGGAAATCTAGTATTTTAAATAGTTACAACACTCGCAACGCCAGTAGGAGTGCCTTTGCTAAAGACAAGAGGGTGAAACTGCCTGATTTATGCATTGAATCATAAGCATGCTTTCATAACTTGGTTGCAGGTCAATATGACATTAACAGATTTTGTGTTTTGGGTTTTTTATTTCTTGCTCTAATCTAAATAAAACTTAAATCCATCCTTGTATGCTTTTATATGTAACAAAACACTTGTATTGACAAAAGACAAAATAGTCTAAAGACTTTAATAGACAATTTATATATTTTTTTAAATGGTACAAAATTGTATAACAAAACTACTACAGACCAAGAGGAGAAGTTTACCAACGTGCGGATAGCTGAATAACGAATTGATGTGATACTATGCCTCATAAAGGGCCACAACCGTGGTGCAAGTGTTGATAACATGAAAGGATTATCATGCAAAATTAATCCTTCTCCAGTATCATCAATGCTACCAAATTCATTTAAACCAAACTCCTTCGGTGTCAAATCCTCAAAAATCCAAGGAATCATGTCTTCCTGGGAATATATTTCCGCCAACAGATTCATTACGCTGCAAAAACAATATCCATGATTGATATAAGGAGTAAGGACTAATATTCCTATGACAGAAGTTGGTTATAAGCTATATATTAGATTTTCACTAAATTTACAAGTGTGATCTGTCTTAGGCGGATAAGAAATGTGCCAATAAGAATCTCTCATCAATTACAGTAAACACAACTGATTATTAAGTTTTTTTCTATTGACTACTATCTGCCCACACACAAAGTGCATGTGGACTTTTTACTAACTAGTATCTGCCCACACACAAAGTGCCTGTGGATTGTTTACTTTTTTTATTTAAAATTGAAGGAGAGAGGAAGAGAGTGAGAGGGAACGTGAGAGTGGGGGAAAGGGAGAGAGGTTTGTTTTTTATTTTTTTTTAAATTAGAGATAATAAAATCATATGTAGGTGAGGCTTAAACAAAAAATAGCAAAATTTTGTTTTGTGAAATTACACTATTGTCCTTAACTGTTGTGTTGTGATAGAAGACAAAATTGTCTTTTCACCCTCTTTTGGTTGACAAAGAGGGTTTCATAAATATATAATAGCTTTAGATCAATTGAGAAGCTATAAAAAAATAAGACGAGACTCCGAGAGTCTGAAATCCTAGATGCAATTACAAACCGAAGAAGACAACAAACTAAATGACAAGAAGTCTGTGAAATCCTTCCTAGATGCATATACAAACCGAAGAAGACAAACTAAATTCAAGTCACACTCACCCCATATCAAGATGAATTGTGTATAAAGGTTCATCTTTATTTTTTTTCACATAATTTATATCATACCATATCATTTAGGAAAATTGCCGTATGTACCACCAGATTGCAAAGTTTTTCCAAAAATACTGTCTTTTTAAAATCCATGCACAAATACCACCAATAAAGACATTTATATCAACCTCTGTTCTCCCATTTCTCTCCAATTTTCCAAATCTTCCTCCTACCCCATCCTTTCTCTCCTCTTTGTTCGGTGAAGTGAGCGCACAAGACTTTCCTTATTTCAAGACTTTCCTTATTTGTGTGCAACACATAAATTATCTAGTAAGACATATTACCTTGAGAAGACTATGAAGCATATATTAATAGAAAACAAAAAGGCTAATTGACTACAAAATAATCAACAAACAAGAGTACCTGCTAGTGGATGGACTTAAATCATCCAAATCAAGTAATATATCCCATAGTAACATCACTATAGAATGCAAAGTTTCACCCTTTAAAGCAACAATAGCAGCTGAGGTAGGTATCAAAGCATCTGCAGCTACTGCTCGAACATCATCATCAGGGTCCTCCAGGCCAGCTTTACATGCAGGCAGGACCCGGTCAAGAAAATTATGAAGCATCTCCTGGTGCCATAAAAAGAATCATTTTTTATAAAGAAACGATTGTATTAAGATCAAAGGAATAAAACAAAGAGGATGGTCCAGAAGACCAAACCAGGAAACAGAAAACAAACACGACTAGAAAGCAAAAACATAGAAAACACCCAGTACAAACATTCACATAAAAGTCATCAGAGAAAAGCCGCTTTCCAGTCTATCCTAAGCATAAAAAGAATCATAGTAACTATAAAATGTGATTGACAACAATCAATAATTGCACGGATATTTCACTTTGGTTGTCGGATACGATACTTGTCGTATACTCGTCCAATACATATCATGGTCAACGGATACAACTCTGACTTGATGGATACATGTATCCCACATTTGGGATACATATATCATGCTTTTAGGATACTTTTACACTTTCAAATAAGAAATTAAAGGGAAAAAATTAATGAGACGGAGCTTTATTTGAAATCTGACGTATATGAAGAGCTAGCCTCTAATTGAAACTATGAATACAACTCTCACACTTCTTCTATATATATCAAGGAATTACAACTTTTCTTCTCCAACAAATCAAATGAAATTGAATTTGAACGATGAAATCGAATTCTTGTGTTATCAAAATATGTTCTAAATTATTTATTTTTATTTTTGTGTATTATAATATAATTTAATTGCCATACCTATCGCGTATTGTATCCTACTTTCAGAGATTTTTCATAGTGCCGTGCCATATCATATCGCCATATCCGTATCTGTGTCCGTGCTTCATGGACAAGAATTTTAAAATGCAAGAAGAAACAACCAAACCAAAAGAGAGACGCTTATTCACAGATAATGAAGCGTACGCAGAGTTTGTAAAAGCCACTGAGAAGCATCTCAAGAAAATCTCAGCAGGATTTTTTAAGGTTTGGGTCAGGTGATGAGTGTAGATTTTTCTTCACAAATCACGACTAAAGTAAAAAGGAAACAGGTATAGCATATCTCTCCCTCAATCCTCTTGAGGCACTCAACCTCCCCATAATCACCGAGAAGTTAACCAAACTCAAGCAACAACTAATCCATTTTCTCCATCTTCTACCAAACCCTATTTATTTCAGACACATGATGTCAAAAGGCCAATCAGCAAGATCGTAAGTTTTATCAAACTTTATTCTAATACATATCCTTCCTATCATCCAAATTCCTGAATCACCTCAATAGGGGTGGTGAAGCTTCATCAAAAATTCTTTCCAGTGAGGATAAACTGAAGGCAACACTTTTAGGTATGGATGGGAGCAACAACTCATGAACAGAAAGCAGCTGGTTGAAAAGGCCCATTAAGGAGGAGGTTAGGAAAGAAATTTGTTTTTAATGCCACAAAGACAAAAACCTGGTTGTAGATGGTTTTTCCATAAGCAGCGTTTCAGCAATGTTGGGATATCATGAAACAGGATTTCATGATAGTATTACAGAGGTCTACATCAATAGCCAACATATCTCATTTAACAATAATTTGGGTTCCTTGAGGATAAATGACTATCAGCCCATCAGTCTAGTTTCAAGCTTGTACAAAGTTCTAGCCATAGTTCTGCCAAACCAACCAACCTAGGGAGGACCTGCAGGAGATTCTGGTACAGGGTTACCTTTGCAAGAATTTTTGTGAGAGGTTGGGAAACTTTAGATGCAGTGTTGGTGGGTTGCAGCTTTTGTAGACTTCTGGTCAAATTTGATTGTGCTCCTCCCCTTTTTTTTTTGGACAAGAAACAGAACCTTTATCAACAACAGAAGGATTTACAGCAATGGGATAAGAAACTCACCACCTAAAATACTAGCCAAAACCTCTCAAGGACTAATTTACAAAAATCAAAATCTGAACCTGAACTCATTTTAAGCCGCTAACGCATCCATCAATATAGAAGAATGAGAATAGTCCTCATTCAACACTTAAGCCCAAAGATTCTCTATTACGCTCCACCAAATGTTCAACAAACTGCCAACGCCAGACTGCCCCCCTCAAAGTTTTAGCTTTCTTCCCCCTACCTAGAACCTCGAACTTGGTGCTTCGAATAAGAACAACACTGTATCGAAAAACTTCCTTAAACAACTAGCTCTAACTTCCTTAACTTCCACCACAGCTGTATCAAATCAGAACAAAGTAGTGATTGACGCTCTCCTCTGCTGATTTACCGAGACAACACCACTGTCGCTTTTGAATTTGATCACAAGTATTGACCTTCCCAATAGCCACTAACCACGCAAGGACTTCAACTTTTGGAGCTCCTTTCCAGTTTTTAATATTGTGCTTACTCCTTTTATTAATACATATATTCTATTTCTTACCAAAGAAAAAAAAAATTCCTTAAACATACCCATAGAATACTGTTAGAAACTGTGGATCAAATATAATTGTCCCACGTTCAGTGAATGTCCATATTGCTGTGTATTAAAGTGAAAGCACTCCGATAAAATTAAAAAAATAAAAAAAGTGGAGCAAATTTCACCAAGATGTTTTGAGATAAAACCTCATATCTGAATGGGGCAATGAGGCAATGGGCCATAGGTCCGTGACACAACCCTAACATAGACCTAAGCAGGGAAGCAAGGGAAATACTGATGAAACCTGGGAACAACTGAAAGAAGTGGTTTGCAAATAAGTGGAACCAGAGCCCACAGTTTAGGTTGGGACACTAGGCTCATTATTATCATCAAGGTGGAGCAGACATATGCTCAGATGGCTAACCAATTACCCAATAGGTGGAGCAAATTGGCCTGTGAGATTTTTTAGCATTGGGATGATGATACATAGAGATGGACGGTTATGATAATTCAAGGTGGGACTTGAACGAGGAATTGTGATTTGATCCAAGTTGCAGAATGTTAGGAATTGTGTATCAAATAAAATTGTCCCATATTGGAGAAGTGAATGTCCATACTGGGGTATATTAAGAATGAGTCTTCCTAAGTAACACTAACGACTTTGAGGATAAAATTTAACACATATATGGGTCCATAAAGCCTGACCAGACCACATAAGGGACCTAGTTGGTAAGGTTAGGAACAATAACAATGCAAACCGGGGGAGCAGCAACCAATAGATACTGCAACCCATCTTTCCTTTTTTATTGAGAAAGTAATTAAAATTGATCGAAAATAAGTGCTTCTAGTCACGATAACAATCTTAAAAGTAACAGAAAATATACCAGTTGTGCTGCCCATACCTCCCACTAAAATAGATAAAAATAAACCCACGGCTCATTATAAGTAGATTAGAACAAACCTCATGACAACAATAAGTGCTATAAAGAAACGCTTAACAAAGCTCAATTGGAGGGAGGGAAAAACCCCTTGGCTATCCACTTGCCATGTTCTAACTTCTAAGTGATTATTACTTGTGAATTCCCTTGGTGTCCTTCCCTCATTGGAAAATCAGCAGGTTGTTTTCTAAAGTTCGGGTTTGAAGTGTGTTCCTCTAAAGTGTAATGTTATCAAGAACTTACATGTGAGAAACCCTTTATTTGCATGTCATTTCTTTAATCGAATTAATAACAAGAACTTTAAAATGATGCAAGAAATCCATCAAGAAAAAGAATCTATGTATTCCATTCCCTATATGGATCCTGTTTGTGCATCCATTTCCAGCTCAAAAATAAATGTTCAAACATCAAAATATCACTTAATACCTCAATTTCTAAATACCTGAAATACAAAGAACCACCACAAAAACTATCATTCCGCATCACAAAAATTTGAGCTCTATAATCTATATTATGGAAAATAGTAAAAAATAACACAACATATCAACCAACACATGGTTTTTTTTAGTAATGTCCAAAATATGCATGGTATTCCAGCAAATCGCAAGTTATCTCAAAATAATGCAAATGGAAACAAATATTTACCTGCCGTACGGCAACTAGATACTTAATACCCAATAGGCTTCCATGACGAACTTCCCATTCTGGTCTACACTGAACAAATCAAAATATCAGAAGCGTAAAAACCACAACACCAATAATAACACCCAAGTAGAACCAATGTACAGCACTAAAAGCATGGTAATGCCATAGCTGACATTTACCTGCATCTTCAGCAAGATGTTCAATGTTTCATGAACTAAACCGGGATGCATGTATTTGAACACAACACCCAATGCTTGAGCACAGGTTTCACGTACTGGAGCAACTACCTGATCAGATACATAATCTCCAAAACTGCACCCATAAATAAACAAAAAACATATATTTTATCATTTGAAGATGCATGGAGTTTCATACTAACAGCCACATAATTTAGAACTAAGCAAATTAATAAATTATCATACCTACTTTTCTTTTTCTTTTTTTTCAGGGAGTTTTAACAAATAGCCCACGGTACTGTTCACTTTAACGAAAAACCACATTTTTACAATAAAAAGTCAATCCTGGTACTATTCACTTTACCCTTTATTTTGTCCTTATTGTTAAAACTCAAAGTTTTCAAGCCATTTTCATTAGTTTTCCTTTTTTTTAAATTCTTTTGGGAAAAAGGGCAGACTTGACTAAAAAGAAAAAAGCCATACCGGTCTAGTGACAAGACACACAAGAAACGAATTGCACAATCTTGAAGGAATTCGCAATTTTTAAGCCATGAATGCCTAGCCAGTTTAACCAAGTTCATCATATCACTATTTTCAGAGAGCCTCTTCAGCACATCCATTTTCTGAAAGGACCCCTTGTTATGAGACTGGCCCTTTAACTCAGTTGTCTGAGCTAGTTGCTCACATGGGTCCACCTTAACAGAGCTGAAATGAAGTTGACCATTAACCTGCGCAGAAGGCAACTTACAACCACTGTCTTCTACCTGTATACTGACATCAAAATCCCCACACTTGCTGGAAGAGACCATTGTATCCACAAATGGAGATGTAACATCTTCAAACTTCAGCTTTTTCAGTTCTGGTTCAGATTCATCAATGGGAACTTGCATATTCAAATCAATCTCTCTGTCTCTCTTCATTGTAGATGATGTGCATTTATTTTCTAACTCCCCAATCATTGCACCCACCAGGCTCAAATCAGGAATAAATGCTCCAGCAGAAGCACCTTGATGGGTTAAAATTTCTCTCAAAGCCATCACACTACCATGGCGTACTTCCCAAACTTGGAAAAACAAAAAATTACAAACAATATTGTAAGATTAAATACCATTTAAACGCATATTATCAAAATATATGTATATATGGATACATATATACACATAGATAGAAATATATGGATACATATATACAAATAGATAGAACAGGACAGGCACTAAAAGGATACACCAAGAAGGCAGCCTATGCCCTGCTAGAAATAAAAATAACAGAAGCCAACCTTGATCAAACATATCTAGGATTAGTTGCTCAGCGAAGCTTTGAAAAGGCCACCGCCCCTCTCCATCATGTTCAATTTTTTCTTCATGATTATCGAAGTCCAAAATTTCCTGCATAGCTCATAAACATTAAATGCAGAAACTTATTCCCCCCCCCCCCCCACAAAGGACGAAACTTGTGAGAAAAAAGTAACCAAATTAATTCGGCAACAGAACAATGGTTAGGAAATTTACACCTGAATATCATAAGATGTGAAACCTTTTAAACAATGGCAAATGCGAAAATGAATAATAGCATGTAGAGATCAGCCTGTAAAAGTCTAGTGAAACCTAGTACCAAATCACAAGCAAACCAGTGCATCATATATCCTAGCTAGTAGAAGACTAAACCTTCAAATTGTAAACTTTGAGCCATCCTAAGTTCATAGGCTTACCCTTGCTTTGCAAAGAGGCTGTTTCCACGATGATAACTAATTACATTTCCTTCTTTCTTCACCCTTATAATCATCCCCTTCATAATCCAATCTCCCCTTAACAAGTAAGGCTTAGTCATAAATCAAAAACTTAAATGATAATTCAAGAAACCTTATTATGAAAATTGCATGCAAAATTTATCCAACAAATACAGCGTGTTCTTAGGATTTTGGTTCATCAAATTTAGTGTCCTATTTTGTGTGGGATTGTATTATGGAAATTCAAGGTGACTTCTCCTAAAAGGACTAGGACGGGATCAAAGTTTCCTTGTACAATTAGATTGGGAATACTAGAAGATAGTTTGGAAAAAGGAAAGGAAGTGTGCTTTCCTATGAGGCTATTCCATATAGAATAGGAGACTTAATCAGAAAATAGGCGTGTAAACCACACCCTATACTTATAAATAAGATGCGGCAAGGCTAGGGAAACAGAGAGAAAAGCCAGAGACAGCTGAGAGGGACAAAGAAGTATTAGTTCTAGAGTTTTTCAAAAGTACTGTAACTCCATTATTAATCAAAGAGGCCGTGATTTCTCTACCCAGGGAAATCACAACTGGAAGGGAAAAACCAGAAGAGAGTCAGAATTATAACACGTGTCCCTCAATTGCCTACACTTGAAGTTTACTCCAAGAGCTTTTTTTAATGACACTCCTTGAAAATATATATTACTCAACACAACAATATAAAAAATACAATAACAGAGATACATCAAAGAGCAAGATCCAGAAGAGAGTCAGAATTATAACACGTGTCCCTCAATTGCCTACACTTGAAGTTTACTCCATGAGCTTTTTTTAATGACACTCCTTGAAAATATATATTACTCAACACAACAATATAAAAAATACAATAACAGAGATACATCAAAGAGCAAGATCCAGAAGAGAGTCAGAATTGTAACACGCGTCCCTCAATTGCCTACACTTGAAGTTTACTCCATGAGCGTTTTTTAATGACACTCCTTGAAAATATATATCACTCAACACAACAATATAAAAAATACAATAACAGAGATACACCAAGTGCTTCATATTTTATTACAACCAATTAAGAAGTGTTTGTGTGAAATGGCATACAACATCAAATCAGCTAGCACGAAAAGAAAAAAAAAATGATCAGTAGGGAACCTAGTACCTTGTTAGTCCCAAATGAGTCAGGACATGCCCCCTTTGGTGGTATATTTTGAGCATATGGAACCTCCATATCCCCATCCTCAGACCAACCTTTTGACTGGTCTTTCGAAGTGATTTTTGCTTTTCGTTTTAAAAGATTCAATTCCCTGGGACTTGGCCTTTCTGATAAGACACTAGGAACCATATTTGCAACTAATTGCTGAATATTATGTGATGTAGAAGCTCTTGGATATATCCCGTTCCCATGCGAGTTGTGTGAAATAAGGTCTTCATCTTTTATCATATCATTCACATCCATGAACTGCTCACATATATCCAAACCTGTATAATAAACAGTGAGATTTCTATTAGATCCAAGAGATTGAATTGCAAGTTAGCACACCATAATTAATAACAAAATGTTCCCAATGACTACATTATGAATATAATAAAACACCACTAACTACATATTCTGGTATTTCACAATGGTCTTCCCCCCTTCGTACAGCACTGTGTGGATTAGCAAAACTGTGAGTGATCTAACATATCAAGACTTTTGGCTTCATTGTTGCCATCAGTGTTATAGAGAAGAAAGCCAAGGTTTGTAAGTTGGGTTATATCCAGAGATTGTTTGTTCTTTATGTTAGATAAGCATAAATTACCAGGAAATGGGAAGAAGCAAGCCAAGGTTTTATGGTATCAGTGATTTTTTGGGCAACATTAATGGAAAGAAATAGGCTGATCTTTGGGGATCTCACAGGCAGCATGAATAAGGAGTTGTGGGATAAAGGCCATAATGGTCATCATAATGGGCTTCGGTTTCCTGAGTTAAGAGATTGTTCTTTTCCGGATATTTGCCTTAACTGAAAAGCTGCTATTAGTTAGTTTTATGGAGTTCCAGAGAGGTGTTGAGTTTAGGATGATTATGCTCACGTTTCTGCTTTGTTTTACTTTGTGGACATCCAGTCTGCTCTTGTAAGTTTATTGTTTAAGCATGAAGATTTTGTCTCTTTTCAGAAGAGGGAAAAACAGGGACTGGACAGCTATTGTATGCTAGCTGTATAGTGTATATTGGGGTGAAAGCGAGTAGGCTTGCAACATATCAGCTTTGCTCATGCGGTGACTTGGGTCATATGGATGGAGATAAACAGAAGGATGTTGAAGATTTTCTTGAGTTGGTTTCATGGAGCTCTGGGACAGGATTCTGTTTCTGGCTATTCTTTGAACTTGTTTCCTCAGAGTTCATGGGAATTTCACTTTCTTTGCTTAGGCTAGAATGGATGGTGGCTGTCCTACAATGGCTTTTAGGTCTTTTCCGAGCTGTTTGTGTTGGGTGTCTTCTTTTTTTCTGTGAGTTTCAGAGTTAGTCCTCTTGAACCACCTCTTCATTGTTTTTCTTCTCTCTTAATACCCTTATCACATGTCAGCGAAAAATAAAACTCCAGATGTTAGCCCGAGATCAAAAAGAAAACACATTAAGGAAAAAATTTCCACATTAGAAATCATAATCTGGTACATGGTCATTGGCTTGCACGTCGGATTTGGATGGTAGTTCCAATGGGTGGAAGGGTGGGTAGGTGATATTTGGATGGTGGTGTGTGTTTGCTAAGACAGAGAAAGTTAGGCCCTACCATGCCATGTGCCAGCCAACAAAAGGCCACATCAAGGCAAAACTCAGCAATAAGGAATAAGAATCATCAGATCTGCAGTTCAGATACCTGTCTCACTGATAGCTAAACTTATTCTCAAGTGGACAGCGTCCAGATTTTGTCTTTTTCCATACAATCACTACAGAACATAATGGTTCAAAGAGCCAATCATCTTATCAGTACTAGTAGATTGAATTGAACTTTAAAAATTAACCATTACCCTCTCCCCAACAATCATACACTGTCCATGCTACAAAGACACCAACCTAAAGGGGATTTATCTGTTTTTCCTTTTTGGCCCAGGTATATTATAAGTGCAATAAACTAAACCATTACTAACCTAAACGACATCGAAGTGTTTGTTTCTGTCGAGCCAATTTCTCCCTTGGGTTCTTCATATGATCATTTGCAACATCATACTCCTGTTCCAGAAATGAAAGTATCCATTATAAAGAAGAAATGAAGACTCAAACAAAGCATATTTTTTTGGGTCAGAAAACAAGCATGATCAAAAGCTCACAGAAGATATTAACCAAATTAGGCCATCCTCTTGCACAAACAAACATCTGCAATTCAAAAGGCAGGATCCACAATTCTTTTTATCTTTTATAAGAAGCAAAGATGTTATTTAAAATCAGAAAAGTGATCCATTCAAGAATTATTAAAATGTGTCAGCCTTTTCATATATCATTTAATTAAGTAATGAGACAACTTATCTATTCATTTTATGAAGCCATAGGTCATCTACGAATAGCACAAATCAATGAGCAACCGAACTCCTTTTAGAAATTTAGATATGAATAATCATTAAACTAAATTAAATTAAATTGAACAAAAGTAAAAATAAAACATGGAGAGCACTATAACTCCATCTCTGATCTCTTTATTTTATTTAATATATCTTGAGTCTACAATGTGGCACAGACATAAATAAATAGTTAAAAATGGTTAGACTGGCCTATTAATGTTTCCCACAATTATCTTGTTGTAAATATGAACAAACAATAACACACACATAAATAATAGAATTGCACCTTGACATGGACAATTTGAAGAAACAGCCTATTTAAATTACATAATCAAACAGTAAAATTTAGACATCTTCCCTCATTGACATAAGTGCAATTATGTCAACAAACATACAATAGACACTGCATTACCTGTCCCCCAGATGCAAACAGAGCACCAAACTCCAAAACCTTTCTGAGATCGAAGCTGTTAAGAAAATTCAAAGTTAGATAAACAGCCATGCCTCCAAGAAGACTCGTGTATTCACAGGCACAAATCAAGAGCCAACCAAACAGGGGCACTACGAGTGTATACAATAATGTCGCACCTTCTAAATGATGTGCCAGCAATGTTCGAATCAAAAATAGGGAAAGCAACCATATCTTCAACAGCACCAGATATCCCAGCATCAGACATCTTCGATTTAATACAAGTAAAGAGTTCAATCAAAGAGGTGTGCTTCACATTCTCAGCAATAGCCCCAACAGCATGAGCGGCAGCAACCCTTGTATCCCAGTTTTTGCTATGAAGATATTGTGAAACCTAATCTTGCAAGTTACATAAGTTAAAGACAGATTTTTCACAAAAAAGAAATCAATAAATTCAAAATGGAATATGTAAGAAACAAAAATCTAAGCTATAGCAAAAACTGACATAAAACGTACAAGCATCTATCAACTGTTGTGATTTACGACTCAAAATTAGGATGATGCAGAAATTAGATTTGTGTTACCTATTTCATTTTGTTAATTACCTATTTGATTAGGATTTGGATTTATTTCGAATTAGGATTATTCTCATTGTAACCTAAGACCTATGCACTATAAAAAGGACCTTAGAGTTAGTTTATTTTATGTGCCTTACCATGAGTGTACGGAATTTTCTCTCATTGGGTTTTGGGTGGAGGTTACCGTTGGAAGTCATGAGTGGGCGGCAAATTCTTGGCTCATTCATTTGGCAATTTGGTGAGAATCGATTTGTGAGTTTGCGAGTTAGAGAACAATTTGGGAGAATCTCCTGCGTTTGATTGCTTTGGGCTCTCTACTCATTTGGTTTAGGGTTTGTATTTTGTGGGATTTGGGTTGTGAGAATTTAAACACTCTTTTGTAATCTCCGTTTGTTTAGTGAAATTCCTCGACGTGCTTTGCCCGTGGACATAGGACGCCGAACCATGTTAATCTCTTGTGTTCTTATTTTGAGATTGTTTGTTTCTTCGCTCTTGCCTACAACGTCGATATTTGGTACTTTATTTGAATTCACTTCCGCTTGCACATAAAAGTACAACATCAACAAAAAACAAAACAAAGAGAAAATAATACAACAGTTAGTGGAAAAGTGTTTCATATATTTTTCCTTTCTTTTGAGAGGAAATGCAAAAATCATTGGCAGTCAGTTTCAACTCGTAGTTGATTAACCCTGTTTTTTTAGTGTTTCACGCATTTGTAACCCTTAATTAAAGATGGAAGGAAAACATGTAGATGCGTTATGTTATTGTAAAAGAAAATCAGAATGGTTGGGACAGGTTTTGAGGTTTCGTGGTATTTCATATTCTCTTAGTAGTTCTTGTGCAGTTTGGCATGCCTTTGGGTTAGCTGTCTTTTAAGAAATGTTTCTTTTTTATTTTGGATTCCTGAAAATAGAAATGTTACTGTTGAAATTCATTCTTAATATAAGGCTCTTGTTTAAGTACAGTGAAAATAATTTAACTTTACTTGGTGGTGAATATTTAAACAAAATGGGAAGCAAAATTTTCATGTAAGACACTAAAGTTGTACATTTGCTGGTTTTCTGGTGCCGTGCTCCATCTATTTGGTATCCAGTGTGTTGTGCGCTCAATAGAGTTATACATTTGCTGATTTGCTCGAAGGGCCAATGTCATCATAATAAGAATAGCAAATTTTGCATGAAAGGCACAACCAGACATTTGGAGGTATTTGAAATGCACACAATACTGTTAAAAATACTTTTATCTTAGAAATTTATATGAGTGGATGCTAGCTCTTAGCAGCCCTCACGTTATTCTTTCTTGGATTTCGATCTTTTCATTAACATATATCAGACCTGAATGAAAAAGTGAAGATCTACCTAGCTCTCTAAACACATAAAATGGCAAAAATATTTAAGCTTAGCCACCAGAGAAATGAAGTTGTTGTAACGTTGATTTTCGAATAAACCTCAACTTCCTCATTGGTTTAGTTACATTTTCAAGGCAGCAAAGATGCAGATGATATGGTGTGCACGGTGTAACTGCACAAAAGCAATCGTGGAAGTCAGTAATACCATTTTCAACAGAGAGCTCAAGTCCTGAGGATGCGCTTTGGCAATGTCCCCTATCTGCTGAGCAGCCGTAAATCTCGTCGCTTGGGTTGAACCAGCTATCGGGATTGGGTTAAAGAAAAATTCCAATTGAAACCAAAAAATTAGGAGATCGAGGAAAGAGGGTGATTCAATATGTAACCAAACCAAACAACATGCATTCAACAATAATTTGATTTAATTTAATTTAATAAAGCTGAAAATATAAGAAAAGGAAAAGGTTGAAAGGATACTGTCCAAGAGAGTGAGAAGGCGGTGGAGACGAGAGGACTGCTGGGCCATAATAGATCATCCCAACTCTTAACAATCTAAGTGTCAACAATCGAAGTACTCGCAGTAATCAGCACCTCAGATGGAGGCGAAGGCACGGGCGAGACGACTTACCTGAACAAGTGCAAGATAAAGGCAGCCTAGTGTCTCTCCTTCCTTCTTCCACGGTGGCCTTTTTTTTAATAATCCGGGTGGTGAACACCCCAAACCTTCCACGGTGGCCTTGGTTTCTTCCCCAACCCCGTTTACGGCGACTGCCTAATGATTTTAATTTTTTTTTTTAATTCTTTATTTTTCCGTTGGCTTGTACAGACACAAGAGCTCCGAATTTCCTCTTTTCTACTTCTGTTAATGATAAATTTCGGTTTTCTCTTGGGCCTTTCGGTTGCAGGCTCCGAATGGGCTTTGAATTACATGGGGGCCAGATGGGATGAGACCCGGTTAACCAACCAAGGCCTAGTTTGTGTGTTCTGTAGCCTTGAAAAAGGATGTATGACTGTTTCGAGGTTCCAGTGAGTCTGGCTGATTGTGATCGAGGAGGTTGAAATACTTCTGTGAGTTATCCCGGGCCTCGGAATGAGTGGATAATCGTGGCTTGTCAGCTGTCTCCCTTTTTTCAAAAATTTAAAAAAAAAAAAATGATTAACTTAAACATCTATATTAGGTTTTGAGTTTTATGAGAGAGATTATGATTCTTGAGTTCAATGTATTAAACTTATGTGTTTAATCTTTATAGAATGGACATTCAAACATTTCAAGAAGAGCGTGTGGTAGTAAAGTCCATGAATTTTGCATCATGATTAGTTTTCATCGAACTCTCATATTTGTTTCTCTCATCCTCTAACTTAACTTTGTGTTACATAAGTGGTCCTTCCGTCAAATCCTTCTTCTTTACAATCAAATTTAAAGATATAGTGATCTTTGAAGGTCTGGGTTGTAGGACTACCACCATGTAATTGATATCTCTTCCCAAAATTAGTTTTTCCCGCCAAATTAATTCACAATTGTTCTTGAGAAATGCAATTTCCTCACCAAAAAATGCCACTTATGATATGCTTTTACCACCCAAAAAAAAAAAAAAAAAAAAAGTCCAATTCTGATATGCAATTTTCCTATATAATCTACTTGTTTATCATATGAGTTAGCAACTTAGTGTTGCCCTCTAATTAAGGACTCTTTTCTTTTATTGAGGTATAATCTAATTGTTTATCATATGCAATTTTTCTGCACAACTCAAGAACCATCTAAGTTTAACAATAATAACAAATTAGTACTGAAAAACATGTGCCAAGGATCACCAAAAGTATCAATAACATAACAACGTTGAAATGCATTCTATTATCAGTACCAATGACCAATTCAAGATCCTCAAAAGCATTCAAACATCATCTCCTAGCTAGATTTGGTTTACCGGTTAGATAAAAAGTTTACTACACAAAGCATACTACCAACCATATATATATAGTTTGCCACACAAAACAGGGTACCAACTCTACCATCACACAAGACATGATTCATGTTACAAAAATGTCCCAAAAACAACATCAGTGTGTCCCCTTGATCATGTCCAATTTAGATCCCATGATGGTTTCCATTGTTTTTTCTTCTTAATTAGGTGGTTGTGAAGATGATGTCCCTGCTCCCTTTCCTTTTGCAATGGTTCATGAGATCTTTTTGTCTTTCTCAATTGAAACCTAGACATCACAGTCTTTTACAATTGGTGTTTTACAACACTCTAGACAAATTTGGATAGTTATATTGTAATTAGGATTAATTTCTTAGTGTTTCATTTTTTGCTCTTTACTCTATAATCCTATGCATTCGTCTTCATATTAGAGAAAGAATAACACTTCAGAAAATCTTAAATAATCCAACATTGTTTAGCATTTACAAAACAGGTGATGTAGCTCAAACTAGGTTATCATGAAAGCTCTTAGAGGCGAAACCTTCAACATTAGACTTGCCAAATTAGTTACTTCTCAGAACTCCAAAGACTAAAACCTGAGCAAATTTTTATGAACTTTTGAAACTAATCGACATGTCAATGAAATTCTACGGGTTGTTCTATGAATTCTCTTAAAATCCCCAGTTTTCATTACACCAACAGCTCCATCAAATTGTGAAGCATCATAATCTATAACTTGACCATGCTGTAGAGCTTGTACTTCATTTACAGCCTGGAAAAGAAGAATATTTATGTCAAATTGTATTGGCACACCGAGTGATATGGGAACTCTATTGGCTAATGAATCATAACCAACCTGTCAAAACAATTAAACACAACTTAACGATTGACTGGCTAAGAATAATGTATTTTGCTTCATCACGGGATTCAGTTTGATCTATTTTAGCAGAAATATCTGGAAGTCCCGACCTCAGGCTCAGGGATTGCAGAATTATCTCTTTACTGATTTTCTTCTTGCCCAAATGTGTTGTGTTACTTTCTTTATTATTGTTCTTTTAGAGAGGTATGCCTACCAGTGCTTTCAGAACTTCTAACTGTTCCTATATTTTCAACAGAATTTTTTTGTTTCTTACCAAAAAAGGGAAAATAAAATCTGATCTTACCCCATCATAACATTGTACCTCGCAGTCTTTTATTGCATGCAAGTAATCTGTAAATCACAAGTAGGACTTTCTCAGATTTTCTGTTATAATAAAGCAGCACCATAACAAGAGATTGAGCTGTTACTTAAACAAACAGACACAAACCTGAGTATGCTTTATCTTTGAATATCAGCAAACTGCGAGGCATTAATATGACAGGAAATGGATGAAGTTCATTCATTGACTTATCTGTATTAATATTAATGACCCCCGCATCAGAATTTGTATTCTCAACAGCATTTGCACAAGTACTTTTGCACAAAGTCAGTCTTGAATGGGGAGTAAAGTCCATAACAACAGGTGACTCGAGGGACAGAATTGCTACAACCGGATAATAAGCCGGCCCGTCCTGGTGTGCCTATTTGAACACAATTACAGTAAGAGATGCTCCGGCAAAGCAAAAAACAAACTATTGTAAATAAGAGACACACAGATCCACCTTGCAGCTAAAATGCGAAATAATGTAAGAAGTAAAGGCTCAGTATTTCAGATAAAGTAACCTCAACATGGCATCAAAAACAAAATATCATTTGAACACTCCTTCAGTGGACAATTGAAAAGCAATAATAAATTGTGAAGAAATATCCATCACGAAGCAAATGCATGGCACAGTTAAAGTCACACAAGAATAATAATCACTAGTCAAAGAGTTCAAAATATGCTTTCCGGTCACTGAATCTTGCCCCACCTTAGGCCCTTAAAATTGGTTACTCTTAGATGCCCTTGATTATATTTTTGGTTCAAATTCTGTAACCATTGTCAGACATGAACGGGATTTGCCGATGTGTAGTGCATTTTGGGATTCGGAAACAAAGTTCTCTTCCTAATCCGCACTTTCCTCCATCCAATTAGACCCCAACCTCGTTGCAGTACAAACTACAGACAGATATCTTCATGAACTAGGAGATTAAAAAGCCACTTTTAAGTTCAAACTCATAGATGAAATCATTTAGAGAAACTCAAAGGCACTTTCATGTCTTGCTCAAAGCCTCCTCTTTCAAGTTTCTGATAAGAAACCACGAGCATAATTTCCTTATTTCAGATCTGCGCATTACTTATCCACTTCATAAATATATACAATTTTGAAGTAACTGTAAATTAATAATTATTTTGATAAAACTGGAAACTTACACGTGGGTTGTAAATGCGGTGGCCACTGATGTTTCTTGTCAGAGATGAACTCGATAAATATTATTTTATTGTCCATTTTATGGGTTTGGATCCAAAAAAATATTTAATCTCTCTTTTTTATTTCATTTCCAAAAGACTTGTCACTCTACAAACTTAAATATTTATAAGGACGCAACAAAAGTTGAATAAAAGTACAAGGACAAAAATTAACAAGAACAAATGCCTAGTGCGTACCATTATGCCTTGGTTAGGAAGGTATTCATTGATAAGGACATGATTAATTGGCAATGGGAACAGCCCTGATTCTTCATATATCTTGCATGTAATCTTGGTTAGCCATGATGGCACTGCAAGAAAGAGATTTTATTGTTTTGAGCAAAGGAATTAACAAACAATGAAAATACTATTAACAATTGCTTAATCACATAGAATTTTAGAACTGTCTGAAGATTGCTTTATCATCAGTAGCTTTGCACTTACTACAAGGAGTGCCACCACAATTATTTTCACATATCAAGGTAATAATCAAACAAGTCTTCACATACCAGGAAAGTTGTACATATTTCAGGATGATTTATGGCTTGTAGAGTCAATAGTTTTTTTTTTCTTTCCCATGTGGAGGCAATAACTTCATGACTTGTTCAATTGTAAATCTATTTTCTTTGGGGGTGGCAAAATCTCACACGCTGTCCATGAGATATTAGTGCACTTTATACTTTTTCCGAAAAGAAATTTACTTTCATAAAGAAATAGTATCAATATAATATAGGGGAAAATTGTGCACTATCTATGACGTCTATACTACTCAAGAAGTAGTTGCAAAACAAAGCTAGACTCCAATCATAAGATATAGCCTCAAAAAAACTATCCCTAAACTCCAAGGATACCTTTGCCGAAAATGAATACTACATATGATAAGCATGCTCTTGGGCATGAGCGGTTTGATTAGTATATTTTCCTTTGGTGGGAGTTGGTAACAACCACCATTCAGAATCTACAAAATGAGGTCAAAAGCTAGTTCCAAAGGTCAATCAATAAACCAGGATGTGTCATATGGTTTTCGCTACTATGGCTTGATTAGTTTACTTCCCAAGAATCATTAAATCTTTCCATAAGAGAACCATACAAACTGTGAGACTTCTTTAGCACAATCAAACACTGCCTCTAAACTTATTCCTCCTCAAAAGACCTTTCAAGACACCTAATTACGTCTACATTAATCGGTTACCACTCTAGACCCTCCACCTTAAGCCCTGTTCCTCACCTGTAGCACAAAATCTCTTGAAGAAAACCATCTTATTTACAATTATTTCCTCAATTTCCATCCACATTATACTATCTGCTTATTCATGTTGCACTGGTTTTGTTTTTTTCTTTCTTGATATTAACAAGGAAGTTCCAAGTTATACTATCTGCTTATTCATGTTTCTACTACTAGCTTTTTATTAGATAAGATACAAACTATTAACCAAGTACAAAACACGAATGACAATAAATTTGTCCGCACAAAACCAAACAGGTTAAAGATAATAAACATAAAGATATCAATGTCAAATCGCACAAAACCAAAAAGGGTAACGATAATCAACATAAAGATATCAATGTTAATATCAATTTGTGAAGACAGATATTCTCTGAATGTTTTGAAATAAATAATTTTCTAACTTACAATCCTGTGGCAGAAGACCCTTTTCATGGACAATACCGCCTGTCAGTCACAAGAAAAAAACTAACTCCATTATTTGTATATGCATAATGTAAGTCAAATTCAAAGGCATTACATGAAAAATCAGTATACATATACCTATTACCTAGATAGAACACATACCCCAGTTTTGTAGCCTCCTATTCTTTAATGATTTCCACTTTGATACTGGGCCTTCATAAATCTATAAAGCAGGATGAAGCCAACATACAAAGAATTTCAGATTAAAAAAAATCAATAAGCATTGTAAAAGATGAAGGGAATATGTAAGGAACAGGGATTTCTACCTTATTTAGAAGCATGGTTTGTTCATTATCCGTAATGAAGTCCGGGATGTATATTAAAGTCGGAACAGATCCAACTTTGAAATCATCTAAGGTCACTTTTCTTTCCATCCCTGTCAGACTCAGAAGTCTCAGAACCTCCACACAAGGTATGGACATCATAGCAGCATAATCAAGTAAGTATTTAGGATGATGAACACAGTAGATTTCTACAAGATTATTGAGGCTTATAACTCTTTTTTTAAGATAGTCTACAGTTATAACTCGCATCACCCTCTTCAGTTTCACTTAACGGAATGGTGGCACCATGGCAGCATTTGTTGATTTCGAAGGTTGGTACAGAGAGAGTGCAACAAAATTTACAACACAATTGAAAACCAGTGAATAGTGTAGAGTAAGTTGGTAACCATGCAGACATTGAGATGTCTGTGTGTAAGGAGAGAGGAGGTGTAGGCGTGAAGATTTTTAGTATGAGAAAAAGAAGAAAGTTTCTAACACAATAGAGTATTAATACAATGAGATGTCTACTTCAACAATACATTATACATCATTAAAAATGAAACTATTAAATCTCTCAAACAGCAAAAACTGAATAAAAACATTTAGATTCCGAACAAGCAACAGCTCTCAAATCTTCCAAATTAAAGAAAATGGTACACACTATGACGCTAGCGAACACGGTGGTGCGATAAAGCAACTTCAATTCGACATTGGAGGCATCGAATCATATATAGCGTTAGTAGTAAATCAACCATCTTATTAGCTAATCATATTTAACCTCACCAATTACAATTTTTTTTTTCTGGGAAACCTCGACGGTACAACCTCACCGATCACAATCACACCAGACTACTGAATGAAATTTCCAATTCTCAGAATAAAAACACACACAGCAGTTTCAGGGACATACACAATATAATCTACCTTCTTTTAAATTCTAAAACAATCCATTCAACAACCAAGGACAAGAAAATCATAAAAAAATTAAATTAATTAATTAATTAAAAGAATGCATTTCAACAACGATACACACCCCTGCTACTGCTAGTCCCGATCAAGCCACACGATTGGCCTGGGAATAGGATGGATGGACGGACCGGGATTTCAGCACTCACTCGTCTCTCTTCTTCAGTGACGGGTTTGATTTGAGTTGGATACTTACAGCCTGACTCAACGCGTATTTCCTGAAATTTCTATTTTTTGTTTTGCTACCTGTAGCGCCTAGTATAAAATTTTATAAATTAAATGACATAAATGTTGTTAAATACATTAATATTTAAACGTTAATTGGAGTTATTCCCTACCATTACCCTTGATACAAAGGTAAAACTCATTACCAATACCAAAACTTACAAGCCCAGAAGACAAAAGAGGGCAAACAAACAAAATTGGGCCAACCAAACAAACCAAAAAAAAGCCCAACCAGAAGTTGAGGCCCAAAGCAGAAAGAAAGCTAAAAAATCGAGAAATACACCACAACCACTGTTGCAAGAGTGTAGCTCAACCTACACAAATCCACGCCACCAACCAAGCAGTGACTCGCCGATTGCATCATCCAACCCTAATCATATATTCGAGCACAACCACAAAGTGAAGAGAACCAACGACCAAGTGAAAGAAGTTTGTGGGATTCCATGAGCAACACTGTCAACAAAGGCAGACAGAGAGAAAGTGATGATGTTGGGAATACCCGAACTGAAGGAAACACCGAAACTCTACTCACTATCTCTATGGAGCGGAACAAATCTCAATGAAGCGCGACTACATATTAAAGCTTGGATGAACAAGAAAAAGGACACTTGTGAGGGTAACTTGTTACACCCCACCCCCGTTTTATATATATAAAAAATAGTTTTTGGGTCTTAATTGGTGAGCCCAAGGGGTCCACCCCCTGATATCTGTCTCCGATCTTCCACCTCTCTCCTCTCTCTCAATTCTCTCTTCTCCCTCACTCTCCCTTATCTTTCCATCTCGACAATTCTCTCAACCCTTTTTCCCCCGAGAAACAACACACACATAGACAATCACAATTCCCCATCTTCACCATTTGCACTCGTGAGCTCCACGGATCCTGGAGCAAGGAAAAGCACTCAACCCTCATCATATCGTATACATCGGGACTGCGCCACTGTGCAGTCTCCTCTCTGGCGAATACTTCTCCTAGGTGAGTCCATGAACCTCTTGGGTTGTGTTTTGGGGTTAGAATGAAGTAGTTGTTGAGTGGTTTCACTCATTCATTACAAAGAACAATCGGGACTAAAGGAATCCAGTTTTTTTATGAGCATCACCCCTTTTGGAGGCAATTTTCTGCCAAACCACGGCGAGTTGGCTGAAGTGCAAGGTATTAATCTCTTCGTCTCATTGAGTACTACAACTTTCCCTTTTTATCACACAATTTCATTGAGTATTGAAGAAGTTATATTCATTTGAATCTTACCTAGTTTCTAGCAATATTCGCGGCTTTCGAGGCGTTTTTCGGCCAAAACACGGAGAGTTAGCCATCGTGCGAGGTACCATTCTCTTCGTCTTGTCGAGAACTATGACATTTGTTTTTGTTTCACTCAATTTGGTTGAGTATCAAAGATGGGCGTTCGAAGTGGTGCCCAGAAACTGGCCAATTCATTAGCTTGAAAACGAGTCAACCCGACCCAAGTCATTTGAAACCAGCCCAAAACCCATGGGCCTTTAGCCCAACCCGTGACCCTAGAAACCCAAAGCCCTTTAGGTCTAAACCCCTTAGCCCATTTACATAAACCTAACCCAATTTCCTAATTCTAAAACCCAACCCAAAACCCCAAGGGGGCATTTGTTTCACCTTCTTAAGTAGGACTGAACTAGCTAAGATTATTGTCCCATGTTTGGTATACTTTGGGACTAACTTAAATGAGACTAGCCCAGACTTGTGTAGACTTCAGGCCTCGTTAGATCGCCTAAATTAGTCCGGCGTTGAACCATGGGATTGCTAAGAACGCCTTCCTCACAATTCTATCTCTTTCGCCATTCCTCATTTCTTTGTCTCTTCCTCTCCCTCTCCCTCTCTCTCTCTCTACTCTCGCGTGCTCTATCCACTACTCTCGTTCTCTCACTAATGCTTGCGTCATTTCCCTCTCTCCTCACCCTGAACCTAGATCACGTTTTCTCCCTCTTTTTCTCGTCTTATTCGATGCCAAGCCAATTTGCACGACCCAACTCAGATCACGTCCTTTCCCACTCTCTCCTTGTCCTGCTCGAATCAGAGTGTCGTTGTTGGGTATACAAGGAACGCAGCTGCGATTTCGATTTCGTTTGAAATTGGAAGTTGTGGGTTAAATATCCAAACTTAGACGTGCTGCAAACTTGGATAGAAAGAAGGAAAAACGAGGTAAATGTCTCTTGGAAGATTATTTTATCCTTAACTGTGTATTCCCTAATCATGTTTTTAGACATCGTTTTAGAATACAACGAAATTTGTTCGACAAAATCATAAGTGTTATTTGCAACCATGATCCATACTTTGTGCAAAAAAAAGATGCTTTTTATGTTCAAGGTCTTTTTCCTGAGCAAAAAATTACTGCTGTCTTGCGAGTGCTTGCATATGGAGCAATTGTAGATCAAGTGGATGATATAACGAGGATGGGAAAATCAACTGTTCTGGAGTCCCTGATGCGGTTTTGCTCCGCAAATCAAAGCCCTTTATACCAATGACTACCTTCGGACACCCACACCAAGGGACCTACGAAGGCTACTGAGGAAGGGTGAGATATGAGGCTTCCCTGGTATGATTGGAAGCATTGGCTGCATGCACTAGACTTGGAAAAAAATATCCAAGTACATGGCAAGGAGCTTATGACGCCAGAAAATGAGCCAAAAGTATCATTTTGGAAGCGGTGGCTTCATTTGATACATGGATTTGGCATTCATTTTTTGGTGTTCCAGGAACTCAGAATGACCTACATATCCTTACCTAATCTCCAGTCTTCCATGAATTGCTGCAAGGAAAAGCACCCAGAGTCACGTATTGGGTCAATGACCATAGATACGAAGGAGCGTACTACCTTGTATACGACATTTACCCAAGGTGGACAACGTTTGTCAAAACAGTGCCACATCCACAAAGTAAAAAAGAAAAGCATTTCGCACAATGTCAAGGGAGGTATAGGAAGGATGTAGCGCGTTGTTTTGGTATCCTGCAAGCTAGTTGGGTGATTTTTAGGTCAATTGCCAGAATGTTTGATGTCGAACTCTTCGATCCATCATGATGACATGTATCATTCTCCACAAGATGATTGTGGAAGATGAGTATGATTATGATACCATCGATGAACACGAGTCAGACACAATGAACAACTCAAGAACACGTATCTATTGTGCTCATGACATCACCGAATATCTCGTGTAAATGGACGTTATAATCAATTGATCGTTGAGTGTATGCAAAAGCCATATTGGCACTGTACCCATCAAAGTGACTTAATTGAGCACTAGTGCAGATTGAAACAAGGTGAAGATAATTAAAAGGAATTTGTGATAGAACAATAAAGTTCTTGGTTTATGTAATTTTATTTCGTGTGTTTTTTTTTAAGTTTATTTGGTTTCATTTATGTCATTTTATTTTGTATGTTCTTTTAAGTTTGTTTGGTTTTGTTTATGTATGTTTTTTTTTAAGTTTATTTGGTGTGTTTAAATAAAGTACTAAAAATATTTAAGAAATTACATGTATTACTAAAACTAAATAAGAAATTACATAAAGTACTACAAATAAATAAGAAATTACATTAAGTATTAAAATTAAGACGAAATTGAATAAATTACTACAAACAAATTCGAAATTATACAAACTCTGTGGAGCTAGGATATGTGGTGCTAGGATCTTTGTTGCTAGGATTTGTGTAGCTAGAACCCCCTCGACTTGTTTCCGCGTCTCTTACATGCCTCATTCGCACCACGTCTTTTTTTTCCGATGTCCAAAAATGTTTTGAATTCAGAGACAATCCTACTAGAGGCTTGTTCATATTGTCACGATCTGCTTGAGCCATCATTTCTTCTCTAAGCATCTCGTTTTCTCAATTGAGTATTTCTCTGTCTCTCAACCGCCACATCACATCTCTCAGTAGGTGCTAATATTGCTGCCATGGTAGCAACTTCTTCCTCATCTCTAGTCGCTTCCCGCACCATGCTCAGTTCACCTTGGCGAGCAAGTTCATCCATATATTTTGTGTTGTCATTTTTGGAATAACTCAATTTTTTATTTGCCACCTTTTTACCTTAAGGCCTTAGGGACCAACGAGTTGATTAACTCTTTGGCACTTCTTCGGACGTCCCTTCTAGCACTTCTTCAAATGTGTCTTTGTCCTGTACGGTCGTGTCCAGTTCTGGTGAACTGTGTAGAAGGACGCCGTGCATGACAACTTCTGGACGTGTTGGCACAATTTTGTATCTGGGGCAATTTTTGAGAATTTCCCAACATTCCCATTTGTTGAATGATTTGTTGTGGTTCTTTGAATTGTAGAATGCTTGTGCTTATAGTGTCTACAAAATGTGGGATAAGACAATATTATAAAATGCGGGTGTAACACAAATAAATAAATTAAAATATTGATACGGGTGGAATACTGTAACATCCCACATCGCCCAGGAGAGTGGATCCTGTAAGCCTTATATGTATATTCTCATCTCTACCTAGCACAAGGCCTTTTGGAAGCTCACTAGCTTCGGGTTCCATCAGAACTCCGAAGTTAAGCAAGTTCGTGCGAGAGCATTCCCAGGATGGGTGGCCCACTGGGAAGTTTTCGTGTGAGTTTCCAGAAACAAAATCGTGAGGGCGTGGTAGGGGCCCACAACAGACAATATCGTGCTACAGTGAAGTAGAGCCCAGGATGTGGTGGGGGCCCGGGCCTAGATGTGATAAATACATATAAATAAATAAAAATATTGTGACCTGATTAACTAAACTTGTCCCACTACGCAAATTACTAGAAGCAATCGAGAAAGCGTTTTTCAAACAAGTGAAAGATATGTTGAGTTTTTCCAACACCCTTGAAGATCTTGACTACTTCTGGCGTCTTTTCCATGTATAGCGCAAAATGCTTCCATAATTCTACTCCACATTTTTCTCAACTTCATCTCATTGCCCATAATCGGGTCATCAGTGACTTGAAACCAGCATTCACACAACGTAACATCTTTAATGAGCTTCCACCCGCCATTTTTTTCACACAAAAAGTATATGAAAGCTTTGGTAGAAAGTGTTAAAAATATTGAAATGTGGTGTAAGGTGGAATATGAGGGTTAGGTATTTATAGAAATTTTTTTCTTTATTTTTTAACAATTTTTAATAATTTTTTATTAAGTTTGATTTAGTTAATTAATCTGGACCGTTGGATTTGAAAAAGATTCAAATCGAACAGTCCATATGCTGACACGTGGCCAACAATCATAATTCTGACTGTTGTGCCTTTTTTTTAAATTTTTTTGGGAAGAAAAACGTGGACCGTTGATTGCTGGATTAGACTGCCCGGATCACTCCATTTCACTAGCCATTGGATTTCAAATTCAAATTTTTTTTATCGTTGTAAATCTAACGGTAAAGAAAATTAGCTGTTGGAAATCCAACAGCCAGAACGAGCGACGTGGCCTCCCTATAAGAGTCGTTAGTTTGCTTGCACATGCGGGCCCCGCCCGCATTTTCTTGTCGAGGACGCGCGCTTGGCGCAAAAAAAAAAAAAATTTAAAAGGGCCTATGACGTCACGCTGGCTTTAGCATGATGTCACATAGGCCGAGCCTTGACTCAGCATATTCTGGGTCACCCTATGGGATGGCTTGGGCTGTCACCAAGCCTATGGGTCTGGGCTAGAGGGGATTGGCTGGGTGTTGGGCCATTTTGGCTGCTGGGTCTGGATGATGGCCTAAATGTCCCTGGTGGACTTGCTTTAATAGTTTACCAAAAACTCAAATACTGATTTTTTTTGTTGAAATCAGTTTTACGAAAAAAGTTTATCAAACACTCAATTGCATTATTTTACAGTTATTTATTCTTACTATAAAAGGGATTTTTTTTCTTTTCTTTTTAAAAAGAAAAGCAGAGTAATACCAACCTAATCTTGAAAGACCCGTTTGGTATTGCTTCTTTTACCATAAAACTTCTTCACTTTAAAGTTAAGCAATAAAAAGTGTTTGGTAAAATTAAAATATCCTACCTATTTTAAAGTAATGGCCTCTAGGTAGCACCTTTTTAAAGACAACATGTAGGTGGCTTTTAAAAGTTTTCATAAGACAATGAGTTGAGCTTTTAATGAACATTTTCAATTCTTGTAATACTTTCATTTTGTTTTTGAAATGACATTATTTATATTTCTACACACATTTTATTCCTTAGAGAACACCACCAAGATAGTTGCTACTACCATCACGATCACCACTATTAATGTTGCCACCGTTGCCGTCACTACCACGATCATCACTTTCCTTCTTACCCGTGATAGGAATCCACATTTCTTCCTCACATGAGACCATTTCACCGTACAAATATCTTAATTAATATAAATTGTTTATTTGGTTCGTTGTCATCTACAAGTTATTCATTTTGAAGAACGTATAGCTTTTCATATTTTTCAAACAAATAAAAAAAGAAGACAATAAATTAGCAGTAAAGAAAACCTAAATTGTGTTAAGAGTTTTTTTAATAATATTGGGTGTCAGTACATTTGCCCTTAACTTTCTAACGATGTGACAAACTTAAAATAAAAGTCAAGCAAATTCAGACAAAAACGAATCAAAGGAAATAAAATACATATTTGCTTTCCTCCAACTACCATCAACTTAGTTTTCATATTTCCCGTTGAAAAATTAATTAATTTTGTTAATGGTCTTGGGGAGAAAGGGTCGGAAGGGAAGGGAAGGGAAGGGAAGGGATGTGGAGACAAATGAGAGGAAGGGCGCATTGCAAGGAGCAAGAGAGAAGGGTAAGCTTGGAGACAATAACGGGGAGTTTGAATGGATAGGAAAATGTCAAAGGCAAGTATATAAGACGAAACAGATCTACTTGGGACAACAATAGCAAAAGAAGACAATCATCGTCTTCCAATTCACTACTGATACAAAATATATAGAAATAGAGAGAGACAGAGAAAGAGGCATCGATTTGTGCGTGTGGATGTGCATGTAATAAATTATAAAAAAGATGTCTGGGATGATGCTTGTGCTGCTGCTATGCCTTTCAGTGGGGACAATGTCGGTAGTCCACTGTGGAGATCCTACCATTTTCTTCACATGGAATGTGACCTACGGAACCCTCTCACCCCTTGGAGTTCCCCAGCAAGTCATTCTCATAAATGGCCAATTTCCTGGACCCAACATTAACTCCACCACCAACAACAACGTTATCGTCAACGTCTTCAATAACCTTGACGAGCCATTCCTCATCACATGGTACGTACATTAACTTACTAGTTACTACTACTCATGCAATTTCAGATTCGCAAATTTCCAATGCAATCCAGCCCTACGCCCTCACCCATTAATTACCAAGAAATTAATTAATAACCATCACATCCATCGACCCCAGTTATATATGTTTGATTGCATGCAAGCAGGGTGGGTGTCCAGCAGAGGAAGAATTCATGGCAAGATGGAGTTCTTGGAACCATGTGCCCCATCCCCCCCGGAACGAACTACACCTACAAATTCCAAGTCAAGGATCAGATTGGAAGCTTCATGTACTACCCTGTAACGGCCATGCATAGGGCAGCCGGTGCCTTTGGAGGCCTCCGCATCAACAGCCGTAATTTGATTCCCGTTCCTTACGCTGCTCCCGAGGATGATTACACTGTCATGATCGGTGACTGGTACTCCAAAAGCCATAGTCAACTCAAGAAATTCTTGGACAGCGGCCGCGCCATGGCCAGGCCTGACGGCGTCCTCATTAACGGCAAATCAGCAAAAGGAGATGGCAAGGACGAGCCACTTTTCACCATGAAGGCTGGCAAAACTTACAAGTACAGGATCTGCAACGTGGGGCTCAAGAACTCCCTCAACTTTAGGATCCAAGGCCACCAAATGAAGCTTGTTGAGACGGAGGGCTCCCACACCGTCCAAAACACCTACGATTCGCTTGATGTGCATATTGGCCAATGCTTTGCGGTGCTTGTCACAGCTGACAAGGAGCCCAAAGACTACTATATGGTGGCTTCCACCCGGTTCTCCAAGAGTGTGCTCACCGGCAAAGGCATCATCCGCTACGAAAATGGTAAGGGACCCGCCTCCCCTGAAGTCCCAAAGGCTCCCGTAGGATGGGCCTGGTCTCTCAACCAGTTTCGTTCCTTCCGCTGGAACCTCACTGCCAGCGCTGCCAGGCCTAACCCTCAGGGCTCCTACCACTATGGAAAGATTAACATCACCCGCACCATCAAGCTCATCAACTCTGCTAGCAAGGCCGACGGGAAGCTTCGCTATGCCATCAACGGAATCTCCCACGTGGACCCTGAAACCCCACTCAAGTTGGCCGACTACTATGGAATCCGTGAGAAGGTCTTCAAGTTCGACACCATGAAGGTTGATCCCCAGTCGACACCTGCAGAAAAGATCACCATGGAACCCAATGTTCTTAATATAACAATCAAAGACTTCGTGGAGATCATCTTTGAGAACCCCGAGAAGAGCCTCCAGACATGGCATTTGAACGGATACGCCTTCTTCGCTGTCGCGTAAGTGCAGCTATGCATGCCTGCATTTTCTTTCTATCTCTCACATGCACGCGCTATACAAATATATATGTGTGTGTGTGTGTGTGTGTGTGTGTGTGTGTGTGTGCGTGTGTAGATACTTCTCTTTTAAGTAAGAATAAATGTAGGCCATAAATATATATCATATTGTTAATGAATTCTTCTCTATCTCTAACTGATCGTCAGCGTGGAGCCCGGGAAGTGGACCCCAGAAAAGAGGAAGAACTACAACCTTCTCGACGCCGTGAGCAGGCACACCATCCAAGTGTTCCCCAAATCTTGGGCTGCCATCCTGCTGACATTCGACAACGCCGGAATGTGGAATCTTAGGTCAGAGCAGCCGGAGAGGCGCTACCTAGGACAACAGCTCTACGTGGGAGTTGAAAATATTAAACGCTCCCTCAGGAATGAGTACAATATGCCAGACACTGCCCTTGTCTGTGGCCTCGTCAAGGGCATGCCTAAGCCCCCGCCTTACAGCACGTAAGATATTTCACCGCCATGCTATGCCGCTTCACACTAGCTATATATGACATAGATACCAGCATGGATGGAGATGACAGCGGGGGATTCGAATAGTGTGCGCGTGTGAGACAGGAGAGATCATTACAATTTATGTATTTCTTCGCAGCTAATTTAAGCAAACAAAGTTAGGGAACGGTAAAGAATAAGGGCTGGAATGTATGCCATTAAATTTTCCTATCAGATAAAATAAAAGAGAAGAAATCCCATTAAATTTTTGTACTTTCATTTAATTTGGAATTTTTTTATCATCTCCCTTTTGTACAAGATTTTATCATTAATAGCCAAATTTTATGATTTATCCCATCATTTTTACATTATTTTTATATGTCAGTTTTCATAAAAACTTTCGAATGTAGCAGAAAACATATACGAATATACCGAAGTACCCTCAATGTTATAAACCAAAACCATAATGTCAATCTACCTTTTAGATGAGATATTCTCTTAATTTTGGTTAACCTTAAACCAAAAATGGAAGCCAACGAATAGGAAAACCAATTTGTTTCAGTTGAGAACTTGCAACATTTTGCAGTGAACAGCATAAGTAAACAATCATGACAATCTATTTGTCGCAAGAAGAAAGATTTGTTTTATTCTTAGATGGGATATTGACAATTTTCATTTACCTTGGATTAGTTTTTCAGTGAAGGTATACGGAATTGTTTATGTGTCCCACCATTACCATTGATATTGTTGTGTTTCAAAAAAATAAAAAAAATAAAAAAAAAATTGATATTGTTGGAAATTTTAATTAACCGCATAACTTTAAAGACCAACAAAAATTGTGTAATTAAATCGAAAGACATCAAGTTTCTATTGATTGTAAATTTGATGAAGTTCTGGTTTCATTCGTCTGGTTTTTTTGTTCCCCTGTTTTCGTCTTACTTTTTAGGATGACAGATCCTAATATTCCAATTTCATTATCCCCAAACAATTAGATTTATGTTATTATGAACTATAATGGTGATTTACGATTTTATAGATCTCTATTCAGAACATTAGTTTACAGATCACCAAGTTCGAGCATCAATCCACAAGATAATGTAATTAAACTTATGTTTTGAGGGTACTTGGGACTATTCAAAGTGACATTTTTGAAATGATGGGCTAAGTTTTGGCTATTAATGATAAAAACTCCTTTTTACATCTGGTTTATTTTGCCTATTTATTTATTTTCTTCTATCTATATATGCGGTCAATTTAGGGAGATCATCTTTATAAATCACATTTTGTAAATTACATAATGTGATTGTTCACCGTTTGTCTTCTTTATTAAATCACAAAGTCTTACTTTATTGTCATGTCATGTGGTTTACAAAATATGATTTAAAAAATAAGGTCTACCTAGCATTTTCCGTACATATATAGAGACTAATGCTACACTTATCACAATTTTCATACCGTATTTGTATAACCTCTCTGATAGAGGTAGACACACAAACATATATGGGTCTCATATGTATTAGAGAGGTGGCACAAATGTGGTTTGAAAAATGTGGTAAGAGTAACATTTCTTGATAAACTTATAGTCACAACGTGTTCCACCACCAACATCACTGATATTATTCCAACCTAACAACGTATTACTAGTAGTTGAGTTTTATCACAAAAGGCAGGGTGATATTAAAGGTGGAAACACTTATATATTAATTGTATATTATATTGTCAAATATGATCGATGTGGGATCCTATTCCACAACAAGCCCCCTCACAAATGACCTCGGACAGGGTCATTAGGGAAACCAATCCTTACATCAAGAACCGGTCAAGTCATTATACTTGTGCTAATGCATAATTTTTCGAGAACCCATTCGGTATTCAGTAATTCGTCACTAGAAGCAACACACGACTTTTAGAAAACCTAGTTAGTTAGCAGTCAGTCACTAGAGCCAACACAAGACTTTTTGAAGGCCAATTATCAGTCGGTATTATGAAGCAAGTTCAAACCCAGTAACTCGGGCCTAGAATGTGTCAATATAATAACCTGTTTTGATTATGTTGCAGAACCACTCACTAGTAGGGCACGATCGGTCGCCCGACCCTATAGTTTATACTATGGATGATTGGTAGCTCAAATTTGTTGAAGTTTCAACTCCTCCCCCCCCCCCCCCCCCCCCAAAAAAAAAAAAAAAAAAATCTTTTCTAATACCTGCAAATGACCAATTTCCTAAGAATATTCATGCAGGATGTCCTACTACTTTAGCGACTCTCGCTAGCTCTTTGGCTTGTGAACTTCTTCGAAGGTCTTTTACAAACGCACGTATTTTTAGCATGCTTTCCCACACCTGGTCCATGAAGAAAACATTTTTTTGTACAGGGTGAAGGTGCAGACACATCGTGATTTTTTGGGAGGGGTCTTTATAGGTTAAAGTGATTTGGTCGAGAAGAATATAAGTGCACTCTTAATAAAAGTACCAATTGTTGGAACCAAATTCGTGCACCGTCGTAGATGGTGGAGGCACAAATCCAAATAACCTGTAAAAAAACACACAACCTTGAGCAAGCCTAGGACCAGGGTGTGTGTTGGCCAAAGGCTCTTTGACAATCAAGTTATTAACAAGTATAAGAATCTAAAAATGGGCAAAAGAATCAGAGTGCGATGATTGCGTTACCAGAGACAAACCTTAGAAGGGTGTATTTATATCAGTCAAGAGATAGACATTTTTAGGATAGAAAATCCTTATTCTAAGTCTGGATAATCCTAGAGGATTTATAGAAGTAGATATTGCATCCTCTTTATGAGTTTGAATACTTGCAATGCACGCTAATTCCTATATTGTAAAAACTCCAAAACTTATAGAGAATATGGCTGATTCTATACTCGATCAGTTCCCAGGTCTTGTGGAACAAGCATGGTCATTCAAAGCGAAGTCGCTTGGACTTCGCCCACTGCGCCGAAACAAGATAATGGTGGCACCATTGCTATGTTATCCAACTCCGCTTGGAATTGTTGAGTCTATGACCAGACTTCTAAGGTAACTGTATTCAATATGCCTTACTCCGACTTTGAAAAATCATGGTCCCACAACATTTCCTAAAGTTTTGACTTAAATTTCCACATTTTTGAACAAAATTCCATTATTTCCATCGAATGCAGCTGATACATATATTGATATATCCATCAATATTTTTATAAATTTGCATATCAATGGCCACCAATAAAAAAAATTTAAACACTAATCAAGGTATATTTAAATAAAAAATGATGTATATTCACTTAGTATTACAAGATATTTCTCTTCACTTTTAACTGAGATGTCTTAGATTCGAATATTAAAAATGGCAGAGTTTGATACCAATATTTACCCACCTCATTTTTCATATTATAATGTATGGTTGTAAAAGAAAAAAATATGTATTATTGATTTGAAAAATCTTTCAAGTTACATTCTAAAGACCATTTTGTTTGGCCTCTACTTACAAAGCCTATAACATTATTCAAACTAGTAAAGTAGTAATTGTTTTCACACTCGTTGCATGTACATGTAAGATAAAGGGCAGAGTTGACCCTGAAGGTGTGCAAAACGTGGCACCACACAAGGCCCCTCGATTCGGAAGGGCCCCCAAAATTTTATTACATGTACACATATGTATGTGATATATATTTAAATGTGTATGATAATATTAATTATGGTTTCAGCGCTAGTGGTATAGGACTTCTAACTTTTGGTGCCCAATCAAGCAAACTTATTTTTGGTGAGCCAACTTGCAATATTTCAATTTTATAGATAACAAAATTGAAAAATAATAAACAATAAAGAATATACAACATTAAAAGAAGGGTGAAGTGCCTATTTAGGTCATAAACTATTACCTTAGTGAAAATTAGGTCCCTGAATTATTTTTTCGGTAAAATAAGTCCCTAAATTCATTAAAAATTGCTAATGTCATCCCTACTATTATATTTAAAGTTGTTTTATCCATTTTTTTGTTAACTTAAGTCACTTGACACACTTTAGAGTGTAATACCGTCATTTTCTCGCTTATAAGCCCTTAACATTTCATATAGGTTGCAAAGCTAATGTCTAATTTACCCTCCAAAGTTAATTCCATACACTATTTATTTATGATAAAATTACCAATCTATCCTCCAATGTGTATCACATGCAAGTAATGTAACTTAAATTGAGGGAAGATTGAATATAGTAACTTTGAATCTAATATTAGGGATGTAATTGACAGATTTTTATAATTCAAAAACTGATTTTTTGAAGAAAAAAAATAGTCTAAGGACCTAATTTTCACTTAATTGATAATTCAGAAACTAAATTGACAATTCAACCTTAGAAGAATGAAGGGCCTCCATCTAATTTTTGCACAGAGCCCCTAAATACTCGAAGTGGGCTCTGATAAAGGAGTTCAAATTTTGTTTATAGGATAACATTCTAAAGTGCTCTAGTTCACGAATACTCGAATTCATACTTGTTTGGAATAACGCAGACACTCATCCCTGATCCGCTATAGCCTATATATAACACAAACATGTAAGAATTCGTAATTTTAAGGTTCGTTTTTGTCAATTTCCAACACCACCATCTAACCCACTCAAGTTACACTCTTACTTATTACTAATGATTAGTAATAGGGTAAATTACATTTTACCCTCTTAAGTTTGAGTGTAATTGCAACTTCTTACAATATCTTTAAAACATTTCAATCTCATACACAAATTTGTATTTTGTTGCAATTTCATACATTCATTAGTCAAACCGTTAATTTGATCGCTAAATCATGACGTGGCAAAAACATAACCCACATATTTTCATGATGTGGCATATAAAAAAAATAATTAATTATAAAAAAAACTTAAATACAAATTTAAATAAAAACAAAATAAAAGGGCCTACCCCTCTTCTCCCACATGCCACATGGCCACATGGCTTCCATCTCCTCCAATATCCATAACCACTAGCGCACCCACCCTCCCAATCCTTAAACCCTCATTCTCTAGTTCTCCCAATTCTTCTGATTCTTCTTCTTCCCCAAATCTTCGCAAAAAATCTCTCTATTTTTGCTCTCAATCCGAAAAAAACCCCAGATATTTCATGGATTTTGAAATTTTATTTCCCAAAATTCCAAACCATCATCTTCTCCGCGTCAACGTACTTGCAAATCTAAAAAGAAGCCTCCCAAGTTTCCTCCTATCTTGCGCCGCACTTACTTGAACTAGCACGATACCCACGCCGATCTGAATGTGTGCATCGAACACATAATTAAGCACAGACTCCCGATGGCCACAACTTCTTTTAGATCCGAGTTTCCAATGTCATCTCTTCCTGAATCAGGCATCATG